ATATATATATATGTGTGTGTGTGTGTGTGTGTGTGTGTATTAGTGGTTCAACGGATCATATAGCAGCATCAGATCGTTTTTCGGATCCAAAATATATAAAATATATATAGTATATAGTTTATAGTTAATTTATGTTTTGAGGATTAACAAAGGTCTTATGGGTTTGGAACAACATTAGGGTGTGTAAGCGATGACAATTTAATTTTTGGGTGTACTATCCCTCGGGCGACAGTGGTCTCTTCCAGTGTGTAGACAATGCAAGACGGTCTAATGTGATCCCAGATGAAGTGACTTGAACAGCTGCTTTCAATCCACCTAATAAAGCTCTATTGAAATTGCATTTTGCACCTGTTCAGTGGTCAGGAGTCATGTTGAAACAGCTGTTCTTCTGTGTTTATTTGTCTGTTTGTTCATTCAGAATGAAGGGCCACTTCCTGTGACTGCAACAGTCCATTAAACTCTCAAGATGAATTGCCAATTATCCTTTAAAACAAGCTTGAGCGCACTACAGACTTGTGAGGGAAGACGCTGGGCATGTCTTGTGTGGATGCTGTCTAGGATTACTTACACTACATATGGGAAGTGTGAAGCCCACTGTGTAGAGCACAGTGGAGGTGACTGTGCTGGTGTGGAAGGGATAGCTGATGCTATCATCATTACAGAAAAAGCCCCGCTGATACGGTTTGATTTTACCCAGGTTAAACGCTGCAAGCGGGAGGCCAGCTGTAGGTGAAGAAGGGTTAAAAACGGGTTAACAACTCGATAAAGGGTCTACCAACCAATCAAATGCAAGGGCTGATTTCCAATGTTGAAGAATGGCTGCTGCCACCTAAGAGATAAAAATTACATAACGGGTGGGTTTATAATGACAAAGCTTGTTCAGAAAGGACACCCGATAGGTGGTGCCATAGAATTAATTGTTACTTTAAAGTGACATATGTAAAGTGTACGGTGTCTGATGACAGTTTTACAAAGGGTCCATGACACGAAAGTGTCCACGATAAAGAGAAGGAAAAATCTCGTTTAAAACGTGTCAAGTTCTTAGAAATGTACTCTTTGCTTTCATGTTGGTTTTATGTGGTTTTGAAAAACCCAGAAAAAGTTTAATGACTTAATCATCAGGTAAAATATTTTTTTAATTATTAAAAAAATATATAATAACATTAAAAGGTTATAAAAAACATTACAAAATATTGTAATTATTACTATGTAGGTTTTTTTTCCCAAATATTAAAAAGCAGTGAAGCAGTTTTGTTAAAATCTTAAAAAAAAGAAAAAAAAAGATTATTATAAGATTATACTTTTTTTGTAAATTACAATATCAAAACAGTTGTCACTCTGAATTTTTTCTTCTTCATGCCACTCAAAAAATATCAAAATGAATTTTAATTCAGAAGGGGTGTCTTCAAGTCATTGTATTTCTGAATGATATTTTTAATGTATTTTTGAATTAACTAATAGATAGGACTAAAGAAATAAGCACCTTATCATCATCCTTATCATCATCATAAATGAATCTATTAAATTAAGCTTTAAACACTTAATTATACTTATTGTCATCCTTTCATAGTGCTCAAACCACATGCAATGCTTTTGTCACATACAGCCTTTTAAATTTTAGCGGACGCTAATGTGTCTCATATTGCACTAATGCGACCTGATGGTTTAAAGTCTAACGTGAGAGCTCGTATGTAAACTTTGAATCCTCTATAGCCTCAGCCTATTGTTGCTGCTGTTGCAAAGCATTATGGTAAAACAACAAAAACCCTCATTCATAGAGCCTGAAGCTCTTCTCCCAGGAAAAGACTATGTGTCTGTTACTCATGCCGAGTGCATGTGACATACGCACACATATAGTTAAAGCTGGCTGCTCAAGCCTGAAAGAAGGAAGAGCTGGGCTGAGGAGATGCTGAATTGCTCTTTGCTCTAATGAAGCCCCATTGTAATTCAAATGCCAAAACAAACAATTAGGAAGGCCTTTTGGGTGCAAACCGTCAGTATATGGCTCTTCTCTTCTGTGTATTGTCATAGTTTGAGTTTAGGTGGTAACGGGGGTATGTAAATCTGCATTTGTGAATGAAAATCAAGGATGGCCTCGGTAAAACACAGAAAGGCACGTGACATGAGTATCTGCTTGACAGTCATGGTTGTGACCTACTTTTGAATATGAGAGAAATGACCAGAATGTGTGTTCAATTGTCAAAAATACTACTATACAAACTCCAGTTAGGATATCATACTTCATTACATTTAAAATGCTTCTAAAACGCTAAAATTCCGCTAAAATAATCATGTTGGTACATTTATCAAAGAACAAAAACAAGTAGCCATCATAAGAAAGTGACTCGGATGGTTACTTTGTGAAAGTCCAATCAGTTTTTTCCCGGTGTAAAAAACATGAAAACATTAAAAACATTGCCCCAGTGCACAGAAAATTCCAAGATAAATACAGATCAAAACTTTCATCATAAGTGCTGTAGGACGGAGCAGGGATTATTGGGGAACAACTAGATTCAGAATATAATCGTTAATTACATTACAGGGTTCCCACATATTTTGACCAAAGAATTTCCATGACTTCTTCAGTCATTTCTGATTATTTGGATAAGGATTCAAATAATAATTATAATAACAACAATTTCATAGGAATAAATCACATTATTATGCATTATAAAGGAGAGTGGGGTTAGTTGTCACATTGGGATATTTTCATAAATGCCCCAAGGAAGTTGTCACATCTATGTATTTTTGAATGTTACCTTTTAGATTTTTTTTCAGTCTGTCAGGTTGCATTGTGACAACTTACCCCATATAGTGACAACATGCCCCAACAGCAGCGAATGTTGTCACAGCAGGTGTGTTCAATGAATTGTATCTTTGTTCTAGACAATAATTCTGTAAACTAAGACTTTAATTTATGACATTATACAGAAAGACACATTTTAAATAAATAAATAAAAATGGCTGGGTTAAAAACTGACAACTAGCCTCACGTACTACAGATATATATATGTGTGTGTATGTGTGTGTGTGTGTGTGTGTGTGTTTCTCATTGGATCTTTAATGATTTTCAGCGATGTTTCACGTTCCCTTATACCCTGACTCATTGTTTTGCATAATAGACTCTCTGCATAAAGGTAACGCCCTGTTATTACAGAAATTTTGATAAAGCATGATAAATTGTGTGTGTGTGTGTGTGTGTGTGTGTGTGTGTGTGTGTGCGTGTTTCTCATTGGATCTTTAATGATTTTCAGCGATGTTTCACGTTCCCTTATACCCTGACTCATTGTTTTGCATAATAGACTCTCTGCATAAAGGTAACGCCCTGTTATTACAGAAATTTTGGATAAAGCATGATAAATCAAAGTCGGCTCCAGTACGCACACTATGGGTGTAGTATGTGGTTAACATGTGAGTACCATTGTTGCAATGTAGAATCCCATGCAATTAAATAACGTGCATGGCAACATGTATCTAAAACAACTGACACGTCTAGATACGTCTTGAGTATGTTTATATATTAATATCTTTCTGTACAACACTTATTAACGCCTGCGTTATAAATTACTCTCACTTCGCTTTAAGACGCATTACAATAAAGGGAACATCTATTTATAACAATTCATACAATACAAGCGAGACTACTTAAAATAATGCTTACCGAGTATTAGGCACGCGATGTCAAGCAATATAAAGGGGATTCCTCTGGCTTCAAACATCGTGCCAGTGTCCTTCTGTGGGTCAGTAACGGAGATAAAGGCTTTATTTAAGGCGTCCTCAGTGTTCCCCACTGTAAGCAGCCTGACGCAGCGTCCACCTCTAGTGGTCAGCTGGAAGAGAAATGAGCTGCAGAAACACTCTTAATAACATTGACCGCGTAATAATAATCAGCCGGAGAGGAGACAGAGCGAGCCGCTTGGTTGTAGCTTGTTAGATAAAATCACCATTTCAACGCATGAGGTAAAGAACAAGCCATGTTTCGGGCGATGCGATTAAATAGACTCGAGTGTCTTCGGACTGCACACTACTGCGAGCTCGTGCTGGCTGTCATGACGGACAACAGCTGAGGCTCATTACAGCCAATCGCGTGTCTCTCGGCATTAAGCCACGCCCATCACGCCCACGCCCATGCGTCTTTATAATTAGATCAATATATAGACAACGACTGTCTGAGGAAAAATATATCTCAAACAAATAGTTATGGATAAACAGTTTGTTTTTGTTGTGAATCTATAAAAAATATTGGCTGAAAAAAAAAACATTTTGAAAGAGCAAAATATTTCATTTTAGCGTGTGTCATATATTTGTAGTTGCATATAATTTATATTTGTATTATATATATTCTTAAACTTATATACTAATATATACTTATACTTGTATTAGCCTTTATCTCTCTAGTTATTGGTATCGGCCACTGAAAAATCCACTACTACTACTACTAATAATAATACTAATACTAATACTAATACTACTAATAATAGTTTATTGTAACAAATGTAAAATTTTGTAAGAAATATAAATAGTGAGCAGTAAGATCTTATGTTTACAGTGTTTAAAGTATGTAACAATAACTAATGTAGTAATGATTTAAAAACAGAATAACAGGAAAAGTAGTTTATATATTGAGAAAATGTCGTTTTTTTATTAAAAATGCTAACCATGAACACTCAAATGGCGTTCATAACACAATTTGAGTTTGCTATCAAAATTATGCAGCTGTGTCGTTACTCTTTAAGTCTTACTCTAAAATCTCAATACACATCTTTAGTTTGTTGAGCCGTTAAATGGTGTTCTTCACAATGTCATATAAAATCAATAAAAAAGATTAAATTAAAAACTAGTTTTCAAAGTGTATTGTTTTCACATTTTCAAAAATCGCAATACACATCATCATATGGCAAGCCAAACAGATACTAGAGCTCATGAAGATTTAAATTAGTTACGCAATACTGCCATCTAGAGGTAATATCTAGACACATATTCTTGCAGTTTAAATCTAGATTAAAGACCCATCTCTTTAACCTGGTTTACACATAACACACTAATACGCTTCTAATAGGCTGCATTAATTAGGTCAACCGGAACCGGGAACACTTCTCATAACACCCGATGTACTTGCTACATTGTTAGAAGAATGGCATCTACGCTAATATTAGTCTGTTTCTCTCTTATTCCGAGGTCACCGTAGCCACCAGATCCAGTCTGTATCCAGATCAGATGGTCACTGCAGTCACCCGGATCCAGTACATATTCAGACCATTCATTTTTCATTTAATTTATTTATTTAACCAGGAAGAGACTCACTGAGATTAAAATCTCTTTTCCAGGAGTGTCCTGGCCAAGACAGGCAGCCCAGTTTGCATATACAAATAAACAACGTAGTTACAACATACATTACAAAACCAACATATAACCAGTTAAAAACAATTACACACCATTAAGTTGCTCTCAAGATTACATAATAAAGACTTAAAATAATTATATTGATGGTGGATCAGCACCTAGAAAGGACCTCTACAGCCCTGAAAGACAGCGGAGACCAGGACAACTAGATGAGCCCCAGATACAGATCCCCTGTAAAGACCTTGTCTCAGATGACCACCGGGACAAGACCACAGGAACCAGATGAGTCCTCTGCACAATGTGACTTTGCTGCAGCCTGGAATTGAACTGCTGGTTTCGTCTGGTCAGAGGAGAACTGGCCCCCTGACTGAGCTTGGTTTCTCCCAAGGTTTTTTCTCCATTCTGTCACCGATGGAGATTTGGTTCCTTGCCGCTGTCGCCTCTGGCTTGCTTAGTTGGGGACACTTCATTTCCAGCGATATCGTTGACTTGATTGCGAATGATTGCAAAGATACCATTAAACTGAACTGAGCTGGATGATGACATCCCTGAATTCAATGATGAACTGCCTTTAACTGAAAAATGAGTGTTTACTATTGTCATTTTGCATTATTGACACACTATTGTTCTAATTAATGCTGTTCAGTTGCTTTGACACAATCTGTATTGTTAAAAGTGCTATATAAATAAAGGTGACTTGACATGACATAATTTTCAATGGTGATATTAGTAAATGACGTATGAAAATCAGTGACTTTTTTCCCTTAATTTTATTCTGCTTTGTCCTCAAATAATCTAAATGACTTTTCATTTACAATAAATCAGAGTGAATTCGTGTCAAAACAATATATTTAAAGAATATATAACCATACACGCTTCAAGGTTTTGGGTTGAAAAAATATCACACTTAATAAAAAAACAACAACCCTGAAGTCTTTGCTATACCTGACAGGCGTGTATTCTGACTGAACTTCAGTACAATTCAGCTAAATCTGAAGATGATCAATTGTGCACAAACATAGCTAAGTATTTGGAAGGGTCACTTAAACAAACCCTCTATCTTCAGCACTCATAATACTCTTTGTGAACAAAATTCTTTGTCATACAAAATATCACTCAGATATTACAATTCTTGGTGTCTTTGAAATCAAAATTAGAATTAGATTTTCTTTTAAAACTAGTACATGTGTTGTGTTTGAGTACATAATGAAGTTCCTCTGTAAAACCATCAGCTCACTGTCCATTTTAATAAATGGCACCACAAGGTGGCACCAGAACATTAATAAATTGCAGTTCTTTGAACCACTCGTCACATGAACTATCAGCAGATAACATGCATTAGCCCTCAATCTTCTTCTCACTCATAGATTCACAATTAAGAATGTATGTACCCACATTATACATCAATAGCAATAAGGCATTTTTCTCACTTGCATTCTAAAAAAAAAAGTTGAAACAAAGTGTCTCATCTAAATGTCATCTGTATCAGTTTGGTATAACACAGAATGCTTTCTGAAAGACAGCGGTTTATCAGTGTAACCCACTGACCGGGAGAAGTGCATTACAGACACATCATGTGCTGCATCTCTATAATACTGTGGATTATATTGTATCACTCCAAAGAGACTTGAAGGCCCTTTCCTGCGCTCCCACGCTTGACTATCTTGTCTTGAGGGAATGTCTGTCTGCAGCTCTGTTCCTGTGGCGTCTCTTGGTTATCTCTATGTTTGGGTTTGCATGCGTGTATGTGTGCGTCAGTTTTACTAAAACCGGCTCTTTACTGAAGGCAGTACTGTATCATTTTTCCACTTCCCCTCTCATGCATAACATAAATTAATTCTGTCATCATTTACTCGCCCTCCTGTCAAATTCTTGTTTCCTCTGTGGAACATAAAAGGAGAACTTCTGAAAAATGTACTGGATGCTCTTTTCCATGCGCTTTACAATAAAAAAATTTTTTGTAATTTTTAAAAGAAGTCTCTTATGCTCACCAAGGCTGAATTTGTTAGATCAAAAATACAGTAAAAATGGTAATATTGTGAAATATGATTACAATTCAGAATATTTGTTTTCTTGTTGAATATATTGTAAAATGTAATTTATTCCTCTGATGCAAAGCTGTATTTTCAGCATCATTTCTCCTGTCTTCAGTGTCACATGATCCTTCAGAAATCATTCTGATATGCCGATTTGGTTCTCAGTTTTTATCAATTATTATTGGTGCTCAATTATTAATAATGTTTCTTATTATTATCAATGTTGAAGTTGCAGTTTTTGCTGCTTAATATTTTTGTGGAGGTTTTTTCAATGAGGTTCAATGAACAGCATTTATTTAAAACAAAAATCTTTTGTAAGCTTATAAATGTATTTTACTGTATTTTACAAATAAATGGAGCCTTGGCGAGCACAAGAGACTTCTTTCAAAACCATTTTTAAAAATCTGAATTATTTCAAATATTTGGATGGCAGTGTACTTAATTTTATACTCCATTTCAAGACTTCTAAAGCCATACAACAGAAACAGGAAAAAATTATAATAAAAAAAATCACAGATCAGTCTGATTCAAGAGCGAATCATTCAACCTGTGATTCAATAAAAAGATTCAATTCTTCAATTCAAATCTTCTCATGAACATAATTTTGGGCTTCACGTGGACCACTTTTATAATGATTTTACGGTGCTTTTTGCATCTTTTTTGAAGCTTCAGTCAATATTCACTGTAAAAACAGCAAAAAGAACAACCAGAGCTCTGCTTCCACAGAACAAACGTCAAATGTCATGAGGCTTAGTAAATAAGGACAGAATGTTCCATTTTTCGGTGAACAATCCCTTTAAGAGCATGTATACAAGCAGTAAAAGTCCATCAAGATTTTTTAGCTCCACTTCGCTGTTTCTGTTTGCGGAGGTGCGCCTCGATCTCGTGTCTGAAGAGCAGCATGCCCAGCTGGCCGTGCGAGGCCTCGTTCATGGCTTTGGACTGCATGCACATCTTGTACTGGTCTGGAGGCAATTGGTCAGCGCAGCGCTTCTCATGCCACAGGTGGAAGAGGCCGCGTGACGGGGCGCGCACCACTAGCAGATTACTGTGGAGGTACTTCCTGTACAGGTGGACATCCTCGCCACCCCAGCCTTTAATGTCCACATCGAAACCACCTGTAAGAGGAGGAGACAGGCAAAATGTGTGCAATGACCATGAGCATTAGGAAATTTCATGGATCCCTCAAGAAGTACAGAGGTGGAGCTCAAGCATTTAATGCCAGTCTTTCTCAAGATACTGAAATCATTCTAAAATACTTTTAAAATAATTAAATGCAATTATTAAATTGTTTGTTCCCCCATAGTCTCAACATGTTCAGTATGCACTGTAAAAATACAATAAAAGGTTGTCAGGTAACCTCAAAATGTGGTAAACCACTTTTTTATATATTTATTTCAATGACTTACTAACATAAAGCTACAGTTCAACCAAAAATCTTTTTTCTGACTTTCTTCTGATGAACACAAAAGAAGAGAATATATCAACTGTTTTTGTCCATATATATATATATATATATATATCTTTTTTTTTTCATATATCAAGGTTGAATCACAGAAGCACAAAGGGCTTCTTTTAAGTTCCACAGAAGAATGAAAGCCGTACAGGTTTGGAATGACATGAGGTTGAGTAAACTATGACATTTTTTGAGTGAACTATTCTTTAAGAA